ATGATTCATTAGTCAAATATATCTGCTTTTTGGCACATGTTTCCAAGAAAGAACTTGCCTTATTCAAAATGATTAGCCAGAAGCAGGTCAAGTAGGTTGAAAGTCATACTGACCAAGTGTTATTCAGTACATCAAAGGCTAGAGGAAAATGATTCTTTTGGCATAGAAGTACTAGTTACCATGTTTAATAGACAACAGTGAAATCACCGATTCGACTTAATTTCACATGATCTGTCCAAAAAAGGTTACATATGCACTCTCCAATAAGATGTTCCTAGAAAAGAATTCAAATTTTGTAGAACTTATTGCACTTGTCTGAATTATTTTGTGTTGTACATTGGGTCAACTATTTATTAGCTTTTACATTCTGCTGAAAACAGCTGCTCAAATCCGGTTATTTTCAACTGAATGAGCAAAACTGGTTAAATTAAGGTGTTGTAAAAGTAAAATCTGCTTTGAAGCTCATCAGGAATGGTTTCGATTTTTATTCATGTCAACTTCAGAATTTTACAACAAAACATACAATGGGATGGCAAAAAATAGACATATATTTACTCAATGCAACAGAACGTGCATTCAATAACTTTCTAATTTTCACTTACAGCAGACAGATTTACTTTGGATATCAGAAAAAGAGATAGACTTCTTGAACAATACAGGGTCACAATCAATCTTAATTATTAGAACATAACATTTAGAAACTCCTGCAAGGTGGACACAAAATGATAACGCAACTGAACATTTCATTGCTGCAAAAATATTTATCACAGTTATGGAGTGCAACTACAGTTTAGTGATTCATAACCAAGTTATTTTTTTTTATTTTTTTTTGGTTGACGTCAAAAGTTTTTTACATTGTGGAATTAAAAATGCTTATCTGTTCCACGATAACAGTCTTTTTTTTAAAAGACAACTATCCAAAATATGAAACCAATACAGTCTGAAGGAAACTGCAGGAAGCAAGAGTTGTCAAAATTTGTTTACATTTTTCTCTAAATTTCTCAGCTATAAGTACACAAACATTTCTCATAGTGTTTTCAGAGATATTTGATCGTCGTCTGTTGTTTCAGCAGACGTCACATCATATTTCCCAAACAACAACACCTACCTACGTTGCATGTTATTTCATCGTCCTTTTACGATTCATTTCTTTCCAAAAGCTAAGGGCACTATTCCTGGCGATGTGTATCACTTCACATAAATTTGACGTTCTTAACATTACTTGTATTTTGCCGCTATCCATTGGCTTCCCCACGACTATGGTTCGGTTATGGGGCATTGATAGTAGAACTCACCTGGTGTTCCTTTATTTTTAAAATATTTTCATCACATCTCTTTGTATCAATTACTTAAAGATAATTTTTATTTTTTTTCCGCTATCCAAAATGTTGATTCCACAGTTGTGTCTCCTAGAAACTCTTGCTTCCCCTTTATGTGCCTTCAAAGTTGTTAAAGTGTTACTGTCTAATGGTAAACAAACCTTCTGGACTGATGTCATTTGTGAGCTCCATATGATTTTAGGGTTCCAGTATCCCCAGTAAAAGTATAGTTCATAGAACTGTTTTTATAGAGCTGAAGCTTGGGCCTTTCTTGAGAGCGAATAACAGGCAAAGGGTTTTCTCGGCTCAAGATAGCAGATTACACAAATTTTTCTTTTGGTTACATCTTTGGTGTGGAAGAGCAGCGAAGTGTTCATGGGGTTTGGTTTAAGTGAAGAATCCTTTTATTAGAACACTAAAAATTAAACAGAAAACATTGTAATCAGCAACGATATTGTCAGAAGTGCAAGCCCCCTGAATAATAAAAAGAGGCATTTCTCACATTTCAGTAATGCTTTTATTACAGACAAAATGCAACATACAAAAGTAGTTAGAGACAACATATTAAGAAGTCACAACATTGAAATTCAAGACATTGAGCAAGTCAACCCCAATCTTTAAAAAAGGAGACAAAACTAAAATAAAATTCAGTACACATTAAAGATTCAAAGAACACAAAAACAATGGTCATCTGACCAAAGAAAATAAACAATCCTCTGATTAGGATCTAATGTAAAATTATAGAAGAATGTAACACCATATGTGTACAGGGTGGTCTACAATTATTAACTAATGTAACATTCGGTACAGGGTGGTCTACAAACACAATAACAAATAAGGCAAGACAAAGGTCATGAGCAAGACCAAAGAAAATAAACAAATCCTAAATGATCAAGATCATTTAAAAAATTATCAGAGAATGAAACACCATTGGTGTACAGGGTGGTCAACAAATTCAATTAAGAAATATGGCAAGACCCTTCAGTTGCAAGAACTATACGCTAATGGAGGGACAGCAAAATCTAACTTTAGTTTAGTTCAAAGCACTGCGCCCGGCTCATTCACGGTATACCCAACTCTTTGAACCAAACAGCCGAAAATGATGTCACACCAAAAGGATAAGAACTGAACTTCAAGATAAAGCAAAGCTCAGCAAGAAATAAATTTAAAAGCTGGAATGTAACCCACACAATTTGTCATAAATGGTAGAATGACAGAGGCAAAACCCATAAAAAGGCAAAGATAAGATCCTAAGGGAACGATAGGATGATTACATAAAAATATTTAAGAATATGCACCAATATGTGCGTATAAGTCTAAAAACGTTTTAACACGAAAAGGAATAAGAAATGTCAGATGTAACAACGTGACAGAAAAGACATTGAGCAAGTCAAACCCCAAGATTGAAAATAAAGAGGCAACAGCAAATAAAACCAAGAATAAAAAAACACAGAAACAAAGGTCATAAGCAAGACCAAAGAAAATAAACAATCCCAAATGATCAGGATCATATGAAAAATTATCAAATGAATGTAACATTATTTGTGTACAGGGTGGCCTACAAACACAATTACAATTAAGGCAAGACCCTTAAGTTGCAAAGACTATACGCTAATGGAGGGACATCAAAATCTAACTTAAGTTTAGGTCAAAGTACTGTGCCCGGCTCATTCACGGTATACCCAGTTCTTTGAACCAAACAGCCGAAAATGATGTCCCAAGAGGAATAAGAATTGAACTTTAAAATGGAGCAAGTGAATGGAAAACTGGAAGGTAACCAACATTACACATTAACCAAAGAATGGATAATACTGATAAAATTTGGCTCTGCAAACAGGACAGGTCTTAAAGTTATATAATAGTGATAGTTATTTTAGTCACTTTCATCACTATCAGAGTCTTCATCAATATTGCCATTGCGCCTTAATCTCAAGCCATGTCGTACGCCTGCAACCACAGTCCAAGAGACACGATGAAGGAATTCTCCTGGAGATATGTCACCACTTTCAAGAAGCCTTGTGCTTCTTTCGACATGTTGGTCAGTCGAGATGGTCCTCCAACTTCTTGCACGATTCACAGTTAGCACTTCTGGATCCCGTGTTGCAATCACATCAGATATAGCTAAGTATTCCAGCTTCACAAATCCTCCTAAAACGAATACTTATTCAGAATTTTTTACTTAAATGTATTAGGACAAAAAATGAAAGTACTACTTACTGATTAAACTCCATATATTGGGATGATTTCTTTGCAGCACACTAGCTATAGCATGGTTATCAGACTCTGAGCAGTTGTTTGTTCTTTCTGGGCAGTTGTAAACTGAGAGCTCAATGCGACGAGGGAGCCACTCTGTTCTAAAGTACTCAAATAGTTGTCGAAGATCCTGGTCCCACCCTTCTTCCACAACTTCCTGCCAGATTTCGAGGACACCATCCCATATAAGATTACTTGGCAGTAATGGGGCTGCACACAGACACCTCAGAGATTCCCCCACAACTTCTTCATCTATAGCAAGTCTTGACAATCCCAAGATTCTGGCTTGAGAACTGCATGCCTGAAGAGGGACAACAATCAAATAAATGATGTAAGATAGAACTACTCACAAACTGAAATTGTTACTTACAACACTGTAATGCCAAAGGCATCCTACAATCAGGGAATGTGGAAAAACCATAGCTAGAGCATTCATCATACCCCTTTCAAAGTCACAATGGATACGGTCTGGGTTCAGCCGAGGGCACAAAGTCTTCAGATATGAGAAAAGTGTCTGGTATGCTGCTTCTCTCTTAGATTGCATAAGAACTCTCACAACCGCTACAACCTGCAGAAGCGCAGAAGGCAATAACTTATCATGGACTTTTCATTGATACACAACCATAAATTGAACTGACCAGGATACTGGTTAGATTTGTTTTCTAAAATTATAGAAAAAGTCAATGCTGACTGCTCTTACCGTTCCTCCAAAGTTCGTCACCACATTTAACATTTGCCTCATTTTAGGTTTACGGCTGCACTTTTTAAATGTACCATCAACATGCAAATTTTTGCGACTCTGCAAGAATCGCAGCATGCGAAGTGATACAAAAACTACAGAAACCGTACCCAGCCTGGGATTTCCAACAACTCCACGAAAAATAATGTCTTGGTTATCCACAGTTCGGCAAATGCCTCGTAGATTAGGAAGGCCCACTAGAATTCCTAAATGCAAAAGTGTATTTGGTATACAGGGAAATGCTTCACTGCGAGCCCTGTAAAGTGGGGCATGCATTCTTGAAATAGTGAATCTTGCAGCTAGCTGTGGATTTCTGCATCTGAACATAAAAAACATGTTTTTGTATACCAAACAAGAAACATTTTGTTGTAAATGTCACAACAAAAGAAACTGCAAAACAAAGATTTAAAACACCAACCTCAGCTTGAAATTGTTCAAAATAACCCTAGAAGTAGTTCCACTGAAAGTGTTTCGGGCATATTCCAGCATCTGCCTTCTCACTTCTGTGTCAGGTACGAATAGATGATCAGGGGGGTGGCTGTGAGGCTGATTTGAAGAAAACTCTCCAGTTTGGAGAGAAATGGAGGCTGTACCATGGCAGTTCTGTCTGTATTTTCTGCAATACAACCGAATCCGCCGATAACGGCGTACTTCACGTACCAGGTAGAAATAACCATCACCACAATGATAGATGTGCGAACCTGCCGAGCGCCCAGGTATAACGTCGTACATGATGCTAGATGTAATCTGCAACAATTGATCAATCATAACATTCACGTAACTATGGCTCTTAAATGAGAAGGCCATATGAACTAGAAAGTACTGTTTAGTGCGTTTTGTAGGGGAAAATACACCCTTTCTAACATACGTGCAGCGAAAGTTATCAGTACTTCATAGGAAAAGATATCAAGTGTTCTAATAAACAAGCCATACCTCAACCTAACGTGGTCCTCCGCGCCACGGCGCGCATCCAACCAAGCCGAATGGTTGTTCGTTTGTTCGTGGCGTGGTCGAAGGGGCCGTGAAAACACGGCGACTAACTGAAGCGGCGGCTCCCCCTCTCTGCACTCGTCGGCCTGGCAGAGCTGGCAGCAACAACAAAGATGTCGCAAAGACTCTTGTGAGAGCAGTCTGGTCTTGTAATTGAAAAATAAAATAAAATGAGGGCCCCAAAATTTGGGCCCGTCAGCAATCGGGTACATCATTTGAATCAAGCTGTTGTTTGACCTGACGAGTTGATCAAGAG